TCTTCCCAAAATCTTACATCTCTTCCACTCATCCTCCTCATTCACCTCTTCAAAATTTTTCATTCAACACAATATTTGCTTAAAGTCCTTTATGGAAAGGATCTTCAACCTTTCATTATCAGACTTTAATTGGCACCTAGCCCAATTACCCGCTAAACTAGGTGGTATCGACTTGATCCACTTAGAACTACTTTCCTTTTCTCTATTTGTATCAAATCGCCTATCGCTCAATTCTGCGATCTCTTCATTCATAACTCCCTATGATGATCTTCTCTCAGCAGCAATTAGAATCTCCTAACCCCAGACGGTTATATATTTCCTACCGAAATCTCTAACAAATCTATCATCGACCTCATAATAAAAAAATTACAAAATAGTCTTAACCCTACCGAAATCAGCGATATACAACTATTACAAAACAACAATAAATACGGCGGGCATAAATGGCTCGAAGCACTTCCAAGCCAAAAAATACCCCTTGAACCTACCAACCTCTCATAGACGGTATTAGACCTGACGGAATAACCTGCACCCCCTGGTCCAATGGGAAATCTCTTAGGATGCAACCTGTGTATCATCCTTTCCTTCATCAATTAATACAAACCCTCTTACTTGTGGGGAAAATAAAAAAATTAGTAAATATTCAAAATTAAATAACTCTATATTTCAGCCAATAGCCATTTCAACTAACGGCAATTTTTCACAGTCTACATATATTTTTTTTTAAACTTTATCACGAAATTTTTTTAGCATAACAAACGAAAATCGCGAATCCTTATTTCTTAAACAAAAACTAATTATACTTGCTTTTTAGGTACATTTTCATTATTAAATTAAGCTCTTTTTAGAGCCTTCGATACTATTAATATATATTTATTTAGTCATTTTATAAATTTTTACATATTTTTATATAGTTGTTTTAATATTTTAGTGTTTTATCATTTCTTTTTAAAATTATATCAATATCAATATTATCAAAATAAAATATTATTAAAAATATTAAGATTCTCCCTCTTCTAAAAAGCTTTTCCCATGATTTCATTTAAAGAGCTTGTTCAAATGATTTATCGTTTTGTCTGTTCTCGTTGTTTCATAAGTCTGTATCGCATTTGATTTTACACGTTGGTTTGTCCAATCGTTTTTGAGTTTGTACGTTGGTTAGTCCAATCGTTAGCTTGTTATCCTTATCATAAGTTGATTTCATAAATAATTTCGTCTAGTTATCTTGCTTGTCGTACTCCGTTGTTATTATCAATTTTCAAAATTGTTAACATCATCAATCCATTAATTAGGAATAATAATTGATCAAATTGGATATTAGAATAAATGAATTATCCGAATAATATATGGAATTCGGAATAATATATAGAATAGAATCAATTGATTAATCGAATATTAGAATGATAAATCAATAAGATTGTTTTATCAATTTTTCAATGTTTAATTTATTTTCGTGTTTTAGTGTTAAATATTAGTTTTATTTAAGTTAAATAATCTTTTAAAAAAACAGGTTTTAGTTTTAGTCTTATTGGTCTAGAAATTGGTGTTAATTTATCTTTATTTATGATATTTTTATTTATGTCCACCCTTCCCTCTTTCAAAAAATTCTTAGAGTTAGTATCATTATTTAAAATTATAGCATATTATTTTTCTTAACTGGTCTAAATGTCTCCTTATAATACATTTATCTGTCTTAACTGGAACATCATGTCACATTATTTGTGGGTGATCAGGCCTTTATCCCAGTTATCATCTCCTTGTGATAGTGTTATGTTATCTCTCTATTTTATTTTTCCTCTAAGGGTTTTAATAAGTCTCATTTAATTCTAATATCACGATTAAACATATTTTTAGAAGTGCAACTCCTGTTGTGTCATTAGGTGTATTTTCGTAATTAAATAAGAATTTATCAAGTAAAGTATCAAAATCACTCTTAATATTTATTTTCATGTGCATCTTAAATGTTTTCACCATACATTTCACTTGGCCATTGTGGTGGACGTAAGTATATGTTTTAATATAATATTTTATATAATATATTAGAATAGCTACATAACATGAAGGCTTTTCCAAAATAAAATACAAAATAAGTTTTACAAAAATAAGAATAAATTTAACAAAAAATAAGGATACAAAAATATCTTGCGATAACTAGTTTAAAAATAAGTGAAGTTAAAAATGAATATAAATTTTACAAAAATTAGAATACCAAAACAATATTGTGAGAACAGGTTAAAAAGCGAAGTCAATTGATCGATGTTATTTTATTATTTATTTTGGCAATTGATTTATTTTTTTTATATTTCAATTTGTATTTAAATTTAATCGGTGAAAATTTTATATTAACATATTTTTATACATTAATTTGTATTACTTATTTTTTTTATTGTTTAAAAAAAAGATATATAAAGATGAAATTGTTTTTGTTGAAGGGAGATAAAAAAATGTAATTTATCTTTAAAAATAAAAATGTAATTTATCATATAATAAAATTTAAATTATGATTAATAATAAAATGATAATCAATAAAAAATGTGAAATAATTCTCTATGATAAAACGTGGAATTAATACAATTCCAACATGGAGGCCAATATACGTCTGAACTTTGCGTAAGTATTTCAAAATTTAATCTTTATTTTGCAATGTACATTTATTCTATTTCACGCCTTTATCGATTATAATTTTCTTACGATGGATGCTTTGAACAATTCCACATATATGACTGAATTTGTCAAGCTGGATTTCCCCAAATTACGTAGCAATGACAGCGCCTACATAGGGAAATTGCAGAATTTCTTCAACACCAGCAAGATCTCCAACAGAGAAAAGGCCGCTTTATTTCTCCGAAGTCTTCCTGATGACGAATTCAATAATATTGGGGCAATTTGCACTGAGGCAGACTTCCAGGACCCAATGGCCCTGCTTGCCAAATTCAAGTTACAACATCCATCGAAGACTGAGAACGCTAAACTATCATTATTTTATGCTGCAACTCACGGAAAGGATGAGACATTCTCGGCTTAGTCACGCGCGTAGCACGACTCAATAAAGAATATAAATTCAATGGCATTCAGAGAATTATTGAGAAAGTGAGAGTATCTTCGAATTCCAAAGATGTCAGGAAAGTGGTCAAGAGCTCTATGACTATAGAAGACATTTACAATCTAGGTCTAGGGGAAGACATCGCGGAGCCAAGTGGCATCAAGGGCGAGATGAAATTGTTTCATTTGAATGAATCACCTGGTGTACAACAGGTTAATCATATGGGCAGAGTCAAAAATAGTTACGTAACAACAAAACCCATTCAGGACTCTCACGTACACGGTAAATCTCTTATCAAGCAATCCCAGTTCATAAATGACAATCGCCCCGTACCATTTCGATGAACGTTACGATCTACGATGCGATTATTGCCGCGACAAACGATTTGATGAACGTTACAATATACGCTACGATTACGGCCGCGATAAACGATTCGATGGACGGCACAGCAACTTCCACGACAATCGTTTTGATCAAAGCTACGATAATTGTCACTATAACTGCAACCGTTTCGATAATCGCAACGATAACTACTACGACGATCGATACAACAATAGCGGGTACAACGTCCATGGCAATCTCCACGACTATCATTGTGACCATCATCAAAGCCCTGATCGACGGAATGACTGCTATAGAGGTGATAACCGAACCAATTATCCCCGTCGTGGTCAGCACAAACACAATCTTCAAAATATTAATGGTTTCTCGAAATATTCTTCTGAGGTCCAACCAGTACAAAAATGACAATAATACTTACAATACATCTTCTGATTACAAAGATCGTGATTGTCAATTGAATACGAACCATGCTATGAATATCGAAGTATTTGATGATGATGACGACTCAAACACAGACCTTAAATAATATAATCTGCAGAATTTGGAAGTGTACAATCTTAGGGTCAAGGATACCATATATGACGCGTACAACGTGACAGTGAGCATCAACAACATACCCACGTTGATGCAAGTTGACACCGGTACTATTAAATTATGATTAATAATAAAATGATAATCAATAAAAAATGTGAAATAATTATCTATAACAAAACGTGGAATTAATACAATTCCAACACAATTTAAATATTTATAAATTCAAATATCAATATTAACATGTACCCACCATATTGGTATATGTGAAGACTATAGTACAAACCCTTTTATTTTAAAATAGACTAAACAGAATATCCAAAAAGTGCCACATTATAGCTACAAAAACATGACCTTAATGAGATAATCAATCAAATATTTATCAAAATAGTCAATTAATAGAAATCGTTTTTTTTAAATAAAATTATATTTTTACCATAGAATATTTATTGAATTGTTTTTAAAGATCATTTATATAAAAAAAAAGAAATTTCAATAAAAAATCAAATTTCTTAACTAAAAAATAAATGACTAAAATATAAATCAAATTTTTCCTTATAGTACATGAGGCTAGGCATCCCAGATTCGAATCATATTTGGATTTTTTACAAAAAAAAGATGTAGTAGGTAATACATACAAATTTTTTTTATTTTTTATGAGGCTAAAAATAATTGAACTAAATTATAAAATTTGGCTGCCCCTAAAATTCTAATCTCGACGGCCATGATAGGCTGCCCCGTTTGTCTTGATAACTCACATCTCGATCCCACCCTAAAGCTTAGACCATTATTTATAAAGCACAAATTTTCTGAATCTATTTATAATATGCTACTAATTAAATAATATTGTTCAAGTTCGGGATCATTATTGTATAATCTAATGTTGTTAAAAGGCTGGATTTTAAAAATGATTAACACAATATTTTAGGCAAAAATCTTACATAAGACTGGAAACTTTGCTCATAAATGGCTTAGACCTATATTAACGATTTTGGCTGCAATCCTAATTTAAAATTGGCTAAGTCGAACCATTTGACAACACTATAAAAACATGCGGTTAATTAAATAACGATAACAATGATATATTAATTAGCATTCATTCATTAAGAATAATGCTGGCAAGAACTGGAAAGTCTATATCTAATACCATTGTTTTGGGTAAGGCATTTATACATTCTTTTTAATCTTAATTTACTCCAAGCTAATATAAAGTTCTCTTCAAGAGTATTAAAATCAAAATGCAAACTTTTATACTATGATATTTCATTAAATAAAACAATTTACTCCAATTATACAGTCAATCTAACCAGTGATTTGCCCTTAAAAATTAAACTAGTCATATTTGACAAAGACGGTACACTTATATGCTTTAATTCCTTATGGAAACCATGGCTTGATAACATTATTACAAAGTTATTATCAAAATATAATCAAATAATATTAATAACCTTTAAAAATAGTATAGAAAATAGCACTCAGCTAGATTTAAAATCAAAACTATATGAAGCTTTGGGATATAATGAGATTAGTCAAAAATTTATACCAGGAATTGTTGCAGAGGGAACAGTTTTTCAAACTAAAAACAAAATTATAGGTATATTTAACTTCGATATTAAATCATAAACACTGAATATTTATTTACACTTTGAGTTTAAATTGGATTAGAATTATAAGAAGAATGTTATTTATAAACTGTATATTTAAAGAATAATATTTATGATTTTTATGTACATTATATATAGCTGAAATTTATTTTGATGTAATATTAAACTTTATCCTTTTTCCAGCCAATAAAAATTCTTGATTTTTTCAAATTTTATTTATTAAAATATCGAAATACAATAGATAATTTCAAAATTTATTTACATATTTCACATTTATATGATACAATGTTGTAATTTTTATATTTTATGAAATTTTTTAAAACAATCAATATGTCTTGGTATTTAACACATATTTCATGTATATCTTGTCTGTCTATGACAAAGCTTACAACATCCCTTTTGTTATCAATAATAGTTGTAACATAATGACCATATGAATTTTCAGGTCTTTACTTAGTGAGAAAAATTGACTAGGATGGCCTCTACTTGGGCTTATCTTTTTAATTCACCAGGGGAGTTTTCAAAAGTGTTATAGTTATTTCCCACCAAAGTGTTGGTAATTATTTTTTTATCATCAGGATTCACTCAATTGATTCTATAACTTCCATGAATTTACTCCTGCTGCATCAATAAAATTCTAAAAATAGGCCACCACCATTTTTTTATCTCATTTATTCTATAGCTGCATCAATAAAATTGCTAAAAATAGGCCACCACCATTTTTTTATCTCATATATTTATTTTATATGTTGCCACTAGGTGGTACCCATATTGAAATTATATTAATTTATGAGATTAGAATGTGTGATTTTTATTTTTGAGAAAATATTTCGAAAGAATTTCGATATGTTGCATAGAGGGTTCTTTACATGTTGATGCAACTGTCACCACTGAACTATCATTTTATCTAACTACATATGTTTCATATGCCTTTTCAAATTGGTAGTCATAATAGCCCCTCTTTTTTGCCATAACTTTAATTGTTTCTAGGAGAAAATTTTTAATCTCTTATAGTTTCAGTTGCGAAAAATCAGATGCTTCAAATATGATAAAAACCTTAGAGATGTAAAAAAAAATTATTGAAAGAATGCAAAGGAGGTACTTAAATTTGTAACAACTGTACCTCCTAATCCAAGATTCGAAGCCATTGGGCTTTTATTTTTACCTTGATATATATTACATGCAATTATGTATTCATCAGGGAAGCAAAGGTCCATGATTTACATTCAAATCAAATGGGTTTATCTTTGATGAACATTTATGCATAAATTATGTAAAAATATACCAAATAGTTGTTTTATTTAATCAAATTAAATATAGGCGGACTTTACAAAGATTATCCTCTTCATCAAGAGTTGAGTTATTAGATAAATGTAGATTCCTTTTGATATCACGAAATGTATGTTGTATCATTGAATTCCTAATGATTGGTATAGTAACAGCAAAATAATTCTTATACTATTCATCTCTGACTCAGTTGTAATAAAATTAGGTCTATTGTTTTGTTTGAAATAAATATATATGATTGATCCACAAGCTGTGAATAGATTTCTTAATCAAAAAATAATTTATTTTTATTGTAGTTTTACCGATCAAATCAAATTGAAGATTTGATATTAAATTTATCATTATGAGTAGGTTTAGATGTGTATTAACCAATTTTTTTCATTTTAAATATTTCGAAATGAACAATATCAATGTCTGCTGGATATTTGATTTCGATCTCCCCTGGAAGATTAGGTGTGTCAGTTAGATCGTTTTCATCGAAATCTTCTTCATCACTAATTAAAACAGCATTATGAGGTATAATTACAACATCTGTTTTATAAACAGGTCCTTCGTCGAAGAGCATGGATAAGGTAGTTCATCAACTGTTTGAAATTGTCTTATAATTCTAATATTATTTAAAAATTTGGCAAATATAAGATGATGATAAATAATTTATAAATAATTTTTATATTCAAATGAAAAAATATAATGAAAATAACAATAAAATTATAAATTTTCTGGATTTTTTTTTATAAATATTAAAAATATCATGAGGAAAAAATAGTATTTTTGTTTAGTAAGAATATAAACAAAAATTTATAATAAAATATTATGCCAAATTTTTTTTATATAATTTTTTCTGAACCCTTATGTGGTCAACGTTGCATAAATGGTTATGATTATGATTCCGAGAATATATAGAATGATGGGCTAAAATTAATTAGAATAGGTTAAGGCATCAATAAGAAATAAATTTATGTCAATTGAATTTAAAGGGAATGAATACTCTTTCAATGAAGAAGCCTAGAACATATGACATTATAGTCCAAAATTGTCAAACTTCAATGGCATCAAGCACACTCAAAAAAAAAAGTTTTTTTATGGTATAATACAATCTTCAAGCTGTAAGAATTATATGTGAAATTATTTCAATTCAAAAAATTTATATGTGAAAAATCAATAAATAACAACTGTTGCAGATATGTTATGTTGACCATTAATGGGTTAATAAAGAATATTAATCATAAATTTGGAATCTGCCTCATAGTGTATGAATTAGGGTCCTGTAGAGCTGGCCAGGAGCTGGTGATAGCGTCATAAACAAAGTATAGGCCTGGCTTGTGGCCCAAAAAATATTAATGTTATATTTCATTATTCTTTTTTTGCTGTGATTAATACAATTGCAAAATAAATTTAAAATTAAGAAAAGTTTTTTTTAAAATATCATGAGGTAAGTAGGTAAAATAGATACACATTATTAAATTATCAAAGTGCTAAATACTTAAATTTAATGCATAACATTAATCAATAAAATAAATATTTTGAGATCTTCCTTATAAACTTTTTTAAAATTTTTGGTTATGTCTTGATCTAAAAATATTTCTGCTACAGAGATGCAGGTTGGCTTGGACTGAAACAATTGATTTTGTAGGTCTTTAATATAAATTTCTTAAGGACTATGCCCCTTGGTATCACGTCAATTATGCATAGATAACTTAATGCAGCAATCCATCACTGATCTAATTTAGCTACAATTTATTTTTATATAGCATTTATCAAATTATTGTTGATGTTAAATGTTGGTTTTTTAATTGAATTCAACACATGTCCTGGATAAAAGACATAGGACAAAAATACTCCAATTTTAATAAAAATTTTAAATGCTTAGAAAATGAGGACAATAAGTTTCATTCTTTACTAAAAATTTAACAAATGATGCACAGCTGCTGTGCATTTTTACACAACTTTTTATAAAAATTCATGCACATATGTGGAGTACAGGGGAAATATTTAAATGTTAGCTAAATTTATTGCTACAATTGTTGCAAAACCTGACATGGGCTTGGGTTAATCTAACCAAAAGTAGATTATGAGAAATATTTAATTTTATTAGAAACTAACCCACTACATTTGATAAAATCTAGTAGATACTTAGGTGAGCAGCTTATAAGTATCTATTAGTTTTTACCAAACTACGTGGTCAGGCTAAGCCCTGATACCAAGGCAAGCTCATGGACTACATTAGAAGTTAGATCAGGGCTGTGCAACAAGGATAAATGTTAGTGCTTTGTATAAAATGATGAGAAATAATTTTGTTTAGACATTGTGATGTCTGAAAACTAAATTTGAATAATTACTTCTATTATTATATTGTGCAAGAAATAATTGCTTGATTTGAATAGTGCATTTATTATTAGAATTTTATATTCTGTATTTATTTACATTTATTATATTATATAATTTATATGCATATTATAATTATATTCATAGACGTTTTATATTTTTTAGTTTATATAAAGAATGATAAAATTTGTTTGAAAACAATTTTTATTTTTTTTTATAATTTTTGTCTTTTAATTTTTACATATTAATTTTGCTACGATTTTTTTATATAATTTTTCTATTTGAAAATTTGATAAAGATTTTTTTTTAATCGTCATAGGTCATTGTTAAAAATAAAAAAAAAATAATAATAATACATAATACAGATAAATAAATAAAATAAAATTTAACGAAATAAATATCTTCTTAACCTTTAAAGACCACAATAAATTAGTTCAAAGTACAAGGTCGATGAACCTGAACTTATTTAATAGATAAAATAAATATTTTCTTAACCTTCAACGGTCATCTTAAAAATAGTTCAAAGTACAAGGTCGATGAACCTGAACTTATTTAATAAATAAAATAAATATTTTCTTAACCTTCAAAGGCCATCTTAAAAATAGTTCAAAGTACAAGGTCGATGAACTCCCTTAAAAAAATATTACATAAAACAAATAGGACACTGTTAATTTAAGCAAAGAGAAATTCATATATATTATAAAAATAAATAAAGTGTATAAACGAACCGATAAATGATAAATTTAATATTAAAACTGATAGAAATATGATCGAATTTCCCAAATTAATCGATAAAGCTTAGAGGCTGAATAATAAAAAAAAACTTAAAATTTTATATCCAAAAATAGTAAGTCCTAGAATCATAGAGCAAGTTAATCTAAGGACGAAAAATTTATAAAATAAAAGATTTAGATAAAATTAATGAGATGATAAAAACTGTGTGTGAGGCAGAAGACATCGATACTAATTACTTTTGATAAAGTTATCACTAAACTAGATACTTTAGATTTGGAGGATAAACTAAAAGATGAGTTAGAGATAAAAAAAAATGTGTTATACAATAATATAAAAATAAAGAAATAACTTAAAGATCAAAATAGATATGTATGATCCAAAGTGGGATCAAAAACATAATAATTTTCGATATAAAACTTATAGTTACAATAATAACTATCATAACAAAACTCAAAATAAATCTTGCAATAAAATTACTGAGACAAATAAGTTAGACGATTTAAGCATAATACAACATTTATTTGAATCTGATTTTGATTCAGACTCTTATCAAAACTGGAAAGGCGTTAATTGACTAAACAGGAAAAATTTTTATGAAGTTAAAAATAAAATTAAAATATAAAGAACATATTTCGTACTAAAATATATAAAAATTTAAAAATTGTAACTAAAAATTTTAATGAAATATCTTTACAATTTTTATATGAAGACTGTATAAAGTCTTATAAATTAAAAGATATAAATCATATGATTGTATTTAAAGAAATATTTGTGATTAAAGAAGTTAACGATACGAATATTAAAGAAAATTATAAAATTAAAAAAACTTTTATAAGTAATACTAAATGTGATAAAAAAAATTTGAAACTTAAAACTTTGAAGACTATTAAAAGTATCATAAAGAGAAGTTATCTAAAAACTAAACGTCTTCATTTTAGAAAAATATTTAAAGATGTGATGAGGAGATCATTTTCATTTGAGGCTTAAGAAATTATTTTTTACTAAAAGCAGAATTATTATTTTAAAACACTTTTTAAATTACAAAACAACGGTGCTAAATTCAAAAAAAATTTTAAAGAGAGGGAAATGTGCATAATATTTATTTGCATATTTATGGATTGAAATTATTAATATATATAAATAAAAATCGATATTAAAACGCAAAATATATAAATAAATTTAAACGCCAAACTAAAACACAAAATATAAAAATAAATTTAATCGTCAAACTAAAACGCGAATCACGTATCAATTATTCTATTATTCCAATTTTATCATTCTTATTCAATAATTCCTATTCAATTCAATATTCTACTAATACATTCTATATTCCAATTCCATTATTCTTATTTGACATTCGACAAATTATTCTATACTAAACGACGAATTAATGATAACGATTTGAACAGAACGGGATCGAGGATAGAAGAGATAGGAAAACGTACAAAACAACAAAGGATTGGAAGCGAGTTCCACGACGACTGCAAGGAACATTGAAAGATTGAAGAAAGAACAGAAGGGAGAATGTTAATACATTCGAAACTTATTTTAAATTGTATTAACCTACGGACTTGTTATATTATTTCTTTCACTTAACATAATATTAATCTTATAGTTACATTGATTGTTATTTACTTTTGAAAAGTATATGTATAGAATTTATTAAGTTAATAGCGAGTTTTGAATGTAAACATTCTTATTATGATAAATTAACTTAATATTTTAATAAATTAATTTTATATCCTTAATTTTTATCTTAAATTAATTAATTAATAATTAACAACCACATTTTTACTTTCCATTTGGTACCAATTAACCAAGTTTTTACCTAACTACGCGATTCAGGCTATAATACCAAGTTTGTCGACCGCGTTAGCAGCGTAGAGCTTTGCAACAAAGAAAGGGTAGTGTTTTTAGATAAGTAAAATACTAATTTTATCCCAACCCACTTCATTCGGTAAAATCTAACAATATTTAAAACCGTGTAGAACAAGTTAATATGTATTTTTTTACGTGTCTTTTTTCTAAGCATTTAAATTTTTTTATTAAAATTGGGATATTTTTGTCCGGGGGTATTTATGTCCAGGACATTTCTACCCGGAATTCAATTAATAGAACCAACGTTTAACCATCAACACATTTAATTTGATAAATGCCATATATAAACAATTTGATTTTATATTAATAAAATGATTTTTAAATAACTGAATTGACGTGTAACCATGCCTCCTTGGTAGTTTAGCCATTAATATTAAATCATAATACCAAATTTTTAAAGAATAATGGCCAATATCAATAGCCTATATTCGTTTTTTAAATTTTGTTTGTGTTCCTTATGGATATTAACACAGAATAATAGAATAACATTTTTTTGGTGCAAAAATGGCGAGCACATTAAATTTCATTTACAAGATAATTTTATTAAATTTTTTTTAAAATAAGAATACAAAAATATACAGTTGAATTTTATTTAAACTTTAGCCAGGGTGTTGATTTTTTAAAACCATTACTAAAATTTAAGCAAAAAATACCTAAAAGCCTCAAGATTTCGCCAGAAATTGTAGAAAGGTTTGAACATTTTTTGCCAAAATCTCGAGGCTTAATGAATAAACCCAATTATTAGATTTGCGTTTTCGAATCGAATACCAATAATCTAATTATTGAATTCTTATAGGTCTAGTGTGATATATATTAGCTCAAGCCTTGGTTGGTTCATTTGATACTTTCTTGTAGGCGCTTTGTATTCCAGAAGTATATAGCCTCATGTCAACATCTAAATTGTCCAAAAGTGGTTATTTTATAACAACTAGCTTTAGAATGTCCAGGGGCAAGCCCTGGCCGAAACTATTAAAAATATATGGGGCAACATTAAAATGAGCTAAGCAATGTTCAAAAACCGAAGATTCCCTCAAAAAAAGTTGAAAATATGGAATCATATCCATAAATTAATCTCAAAACCTAATTATTTCTATACCTCAAAGAATATTGGCAACTATTAGATTTATATGTGACGCAACTCAATTCAAGTGACCGCTTATTGTGAATTTTTAGTGCTAGAATAATTAATATCAATTATTATCAGCATTTATTTTATATTTTTTCTGACAAATATTATCAATATTTAATAATTTTAAAAAAAATTATGTTATACTTACATTTAATCAAACTTTAAAAAATTGGAATTAATTTTTTATTACTTACCGATTTTTTTAAATTTGGAGATTGTTAAAGGTTCAAAAATTTAAGCATTAATGACGTGGATTGTATAAAAATTATATTTAGAATTTAATGATCTGGCCAATTTTCAACAATATTTGCAATTTTATAATTACATTTTTTCAGCCCCTTTTAAATATTATTATTTATGAAAAATTATTTTGATTCCACTTGAAGAATCTTCTTTAAAATGCTCATCCATTGATTACATGAAAATAAATATCAATTTAAAGTGATTATAGTGACTAGATTTTAACAAAATGTTGCCGATTAACTCCCTTATAAATGATTGTAAAAATCCTATCTGGTTCAAAAGATATTCTCCGCAATCTGTACAATTTTATAATTACATTTTTTTAGCCCTTTTTAAATATTATTATTTATGAAAAATTATTTTGATTCCACTTGAAGAATCTTCTTTAAAATGCTCATCCATTGATTACATGAAAATAAATATCAATTTTAAGTGATTATAGTGACTAGTAGATTTTAACAAAATGTTGCCGATTAACTCCCTTATAAATGATTGTAAGAATCCTATTTGGTTCAGAAGATATTCTCCGCAATCTGTATTAGAATTTAATTTTAAAAAATATCGGGCCCAATGTTATCCTTGATGAAAACTGATCCATTATGACCCGGCGCATAATCAGGCATTTGCTTTGGAGGGAACAATTTTTAAAAATCCTAAAATTCCTCTTGGAGTTATTATTTAAAATTTATTAGGACTAGTATCTAAAATAATTCAAGAGTCACTCAACATTTTGAATAATACACATATAAATTAATTACACTGGATCTTTTAAAATTATCAGATTCCTATAAATTTTTAATTTTAAGGAGGTTCCCGTTCCAAATTTGGAGTATAAGTGTATAAACCATCATTGCTTTTTATATAGAATCTAAAGTAAATGAAAAGATTTACGTTTCGTGAATATTTTTCGAAACATTCCAGACTATAACGAGACATGCATCAATATATTTAAAAGTTTATAGGGACATGGTTCAGATATTCTGATTTTCAACTAATAATATATTTAAAATAAAATTATATGAGAATTTTAACAATTTAATATACAAAAATAGAATTTTAAAAGTAACAAATAAAATAATTTGAATATTATAATGCTTTTTTGCAAAATAATGTTAAATAAGTTAATTAAAACGCCATCGATATAATGGATTAGTTCAACTAAAATTTAAGTGTTTTTAATTTCCTTATACTTTAAAGAAAAGTTTCAGCTTTTTTAAATAAAAAAATATGTAAATACAAAGAAAGAACAAACGCTTATTGTATAACAACTTTTATTTGTGTAGGATTAGGGATAAAAAAATGTTTTTTTCATAAAATACAGCAAAAAAGCAATCATTTTAACAAAATAAGCAAATTATAAAGTGATAATTAAAATTTTTCCAAAATATTGGTAGATTATCTTGATGAGAATTGCAATAAAGTATTGGTGTAGTGTACTTTCCATAACGATTGTTGTAGTAATTTTTTTAAAAAAATAGTTTTTTTTCATCGCTATATAAAGGATTCATATATGTCTAATACCATACAGATTTGCTGGTTTCTCAAGAAGGTTTTTCACCTCACTACGCTGAAAAGATTGTAGGGCAAGCGTACTCCAACTCGGCCTCACATTTCAAAAATATAGTAGTTGATTTTCAGCATGGTCAAAATAATACACCATTTTATGATAATGACCAAAATAACTCAACCTCTGACAATAAATTTTGTACTACTTATATTCGTAAATTCGATCATTTTAACAACGATATTACTTCTCAGAATTCCACGTCTTCTCCTAATTTCGTATCAAACGAAAAAAAGATACCGCTTAATAATACCGATGGCACCCACCATAATAGCCCGGAATATACAAACGTTACCTCGAAATTTCAATCAACCATCGAAACACAACCCAAGCCTATGACGCTTAAACAATTAGCCGATCTTCGTTCTCTGTTTACCCTTTTAAAATCTCGTGGCCTCAAAATTGCACTTTGCACTTCTGATGACCGAGCCCTGACAATTTCAACTCTCAAGCGCTTAGGTCGGCTCGACACCTTGTTAGACTTTATAGTTTGCGGGGATGACCCGGGTTCAACTCCCAAGCCTTCTCCGCTAAACGCACTCAAAATATGCGAAAAGTTGGGCATACCTCCCAGCGAAACAGCTGTCGTAGGCGATACGGGCGTAGATATGGGGATGGGTAAATCGGCCGGACTAGGACTTATAGTAGGCATCCTTACCGGCATAGGGGATGGTCCACTCCTAACGCGGGAAGGGGCCCATCATTTAGCTGACGATTTAAATCACTTTATTGAAATTTTATATGCCACCGGAGAGGAAGGCCTAAAAAATAAGGGTCATAGCAATCTTGGCTCGCTTTCAAATACTCATAATAAATCCCAAAATATCGATAAACTAACGAATATCCATGGTTCAATTAAACGTCATTTCTCCTCTACCACATTAATTTGTAAAGGTTTACAAGAACCTAAACTTAATCATTCCGTTTTCAAGAAACTGTTTAGCAAGCGGCGACGATGGATAGGTGATGTTCAAGCCGCCGCCGATAATGGACCTTATGATTATATAATAGTTGGAGCCGGATCTGCTGGCTGTGTATTGGCCAATAGGCTGACAGAGGATCCTGGTATGAAAGTAATATTTTGATTGATAAAATAGTGTTTTTTTGTTCTCACATTTTGATTAAAGTTATGTCCAAAACTTGAAGAAATAACAAATTTTGGGAACTTTAGTGGAAATAAATAAATAAGCTTTTTTTTAATCGAAATAAAAATATGTACAAAACATATTGCTAAAAAGTTTCAAAAATTTAACATAGGATTATTTTAAAATTTGTAATTTTTTAAAACTTTTCAAAAAAAGTGTCGTAATTAAGGACATAGCCTAAGTAAATTTTTATAGAAAGGAGGAAGGATAAATTTCATAAAAAATAATTTTTAAAAAGTTTAAATATGTAAGCAAATGCCAGTTATTAGTTTTAACATCATATCTTTATAAATCTACTAATATAATCTATTTTGAATACTTTATTAATCCACCAAATAAATTTGGTCTTGAACATACTATCCTAAAAATCTTGCTCAGATTCGTGAATGATTTGCATCCAATAGTGCTCATATAAACTTATGCTTAATATATTTTTTTAATTTAAAGGTTTTGCTAATAGAAGCTGGTCCCCCGGATTACTGGTGGAATTGGAAAATCAGTATGCCCGCCGCCCTCATGTACAATCTTTGTCACGACAAGTATAATTGGTTTTATAAAACTGTGCCTCAACGCCACCTTAACAACAGGGTTATGTATTGGCCTAGAGGTTTGTTCTCAATCATGTCTCAATTGTATAAAATGGAAAAGAAATTTAATTCTAATAATTATTCCCTCGTCAGAAAATGGCGATATTAAAAATACAACTGATAAAATTACCATAATTTGATACAAATTTTCCACAACCATGGTGGCCGAGGGGTAAAGACCCAATACTTTTCTCTGGGGTGTACCGATTTTTTAATATCAAATTATCCCGATCATTCTAATTTTTAAGAATATCGGTTTACGGCCGATATCATTAATTTGATCGATTTAATTCAGTATACCAAAATGACGTATTAATAAAATATGGTAATTTTTCAATTTAAATATATTCTATTTGTTTATTTTATTCCCGATATACTCATTTCTGTTATTATGAACAGACTGATATCGGTCATTTCAATATATACCTTGATATCGGAAAAATTGTTCAGATGTGCCCTGAAACCCAGTATCGATACACCTCTAAAAATAAACTCATGGTTCTTAAAAAAATCCGAAAAACCTCAGGATTTTAAATTCTGAATCTGCACGTTGGGATTTCGAATATTCTGAGATTCCATATTCTTTTTAGGGCTGTGTCGATCCACAAATTTTACGTACCCTATATTACTACAAAACCGATACGATATTTAAATTGATTTTATTTACCATCTATCTTTGATTCAACGTCATAAAAAAAATCAGAAAAACTTCCGCGAGTTATTATGTATATCATTTTTTTGTACTCAAAAGGTTAATTATCTCATTTAAAATAGGGAAATGGTTATGGTTGAATGTAGTTTTGTTAAACGGCTAGATTTCGCCTGTTATTAAAAGCAGCTATCAAGATTTTAGCCAAAATATTATATAAGCCTCAAAATTTAGACAATGGATGTCACTTTTCTGCTAGCTGTGGGCAAAATATCTAAGCTTGGATAATTTATTTTGGTTAAAATCTTAAGTTTTTTTAAAATCGGCAAATCAAATCGTTTAACAACCTGTGACTCGTTAGATATTTTTTGCAGGTATAACAAAAAATTATATATTTAGTTACACTATCTTCTAAAATGATTCGATTTTTTTAAACATTACAAAAAAATTGAATTGGTTCCTTTTATAAATTTGATATTATTATAAAATTAATGTATAAAATAAAAGATATTTAATATTATAATTATATATTCATTATATGACCAAAAGCATTAAAAAAATATCGCATCGGTTTTTTAAAAATTATTGACCCAGTCAAATATTTAAAAAACGCTGTCCCGATTCGATCCAATATTTATCTGTACAGTCCTATCTTTTATGACATTATATGATGATAACATATAAACGAAAGGTCTGCAATCTGCGGGGTTTAAACTCAAATGCCTGTCCATTGTTTTTTTTGATTCGCCTACCCACCCATTTAAGAAACTTTGTTTAACACCCTTCCACCCAATGTTTAAAAAATAGCTTATTGGTTGGTTTTTTATCTTTTTATTTAATGTTTTTACTTAAATTATATTAGTCATTTCTGCCCAAAAATATTCAAATTCGCTCGCTCATTCGCTCAATATTTAAATTTTTAACTGGGCCTGGCTAAAAACCAACCTGTTGCAGATCTTTAATAAAAATGTAACATTTTAATTTCCAACTCCTTACTTCCTAAGATATGGCTACCTTTAAAAATGCAAAAATTCCAAATAATACTATTTAATTTGGGTTTTGGATTTTTTACGTTTTTAGAGGTGGCTATATTTCAAGAAGTAAGGCGAGTTGGAGATTAAAATTTTATATATTTATTAATTATGTATATGTCGTATTAGGATATGGAATCCATGGAGATTCGATATCTCAATAATCATATACCCAAGGAATTTTCAAATTTGGAAAATCTGACTTGACAGGGAATGTATTTCATTTTGTATAGTGTCCACAATGTAAATTTCAGATACTTTTGTCGTGAAATTTTTAAAAATATTTAAAAGTTCATGGTAAAATTGCCTGGAATTCATAGAGCATGCACTCTACACCTACTGGAATACATTTATTGTCGAATAAAATTTTTAAAATCGCCCTCAGTAAATGATTAAATTAAAAAATTCCGAATCCCCATGAATATATCCCAATACGACATTTATACTATTTATCTTACAAATTTTTTTTAAAAAAATTGAAGGGGGTTGGGTTAAGAATCGAATTTTTTGGTTGATTTAATAAGGAATACAATATATATAACCTATATTAAGCAAATTATAAAAAAATTCGACCAATCAAATTATTGTCACCTTTTTTTATAAAGTAAAGTTTTATTTTTAGACTGGTAAATTAAGTCTGATTAGAACATAAAAGAGAAAAAATAATTTAGAAACTATAAATTTCGAAAACTTAAATAATATCCTAAAAGGCAGAGTATGGGGCGGTTCCTCATCCCTAAACGCTATGGTGTATATAAGAGGCCATGCCCTCGATTACGATAGATGGTGCTACATGTACAACTGTGAAGGCTGGTCTTATCGAGATTGCTTGCCCTACTTTAAGAAAGCTGAAGGGCATGATGATCTGCCCGGAGATATGTATATCGGAGGTTCAAAAACTTTCGGAATAATATGATTGATTGGCAAAATTTTTATGCTTTATATTTCATTAAACAGTTCCTATTATATTTTGTTAAATTATTTTGGCAATATTTTACAAAAAATATTCATATACCTTTTATTCAATTCAATAATAAAGATAAAGGTCCTCTCCACGTCAGTAGAGCTAAGATGGCGAATCCTCTATATAAAGCTTTTATTGAAGCCGGTCAACAAGCCAGTTATCCTTACACTAGTGATATGAATGGATTTCAGCAGGAAGGCGTGGGACCGATGGACATGACTATACATAACGTTTTTTAACGTGCCATATTATTTTTTTAATACTCGTAAGGTTTTTTAAGTGCTATACCCCAGATATTTTAAAATTGTTATTACAAAAAGCCTGAAGATAGTTTTTTTTATCATTGTCCTTCTATTTTATACCAAGTATTTCTGCAAAGTTTTATTTAGGCCATTTCCTAACGTCTTTTTTTTCTAATAGGAAAAAAATTACTCAGCTTAATAAACCGAGTTTGGAAATATATAAGCTGTGTTTATTTATTTTTTATTTATCTATCAGATCATGTAGTTTAAAATTATTATAAAATTTTTACACTATTCCTCAAGTTAAAATTATGTTCATACAAATTTACGCCAAATCGCCTTAAAAAATCGATTTTTAACTCAACCCTCTAGATTTTTTTGTAGTGACACTATAAATATATATCACATAACCAAGAAAAAATATTTGAGCTTTCAACTCTAATAGAGGTTATATTAAGGGGTTCTAAAAGTCAAAATTGAAAATATGTTTCATATAATTGTAAATATCTCTTCATAAATTGAATTAGAGATCTAGAACCTAACACGGGCTATAATATTGTATATAAACATCCGGACTAGGCCTAAAAAATTTAATTGAAAATACCCCAGTCTAATCACGTAAGAATTCCATGATAGATAATTTAATTTACTTTCCTCTGAGATTATTTACAAAAGAGAATCAAAATTTTGAATATAAAAATAAATTATAATTTTTTTGGGTTTATTCTTCAAAAGGGAGTTAGATGGAGCACTTCAAAAGCCTACCTCAGACCTGCACTCATAAGACCTAATCTTTATGTGCTTAGCAATGCATTGGTTCATAAAATAGTTATGGACGATGCCAACAAAACGGCTCAAGCTGTATTTGTATGCCCTAATTTCAATGCCAAGAATGCAATCGAGTTTAATATATCTAATAAAAGCCTATCAATAAAAACTAAAGGAGAAATTATTCTTTGTGGTGGTGCTATCAATTCACCTCAGTTACTTATGCTATCTGGAATCGGTAAATTTTAAAAATGTTAATTTGAATTTATGATTTATCATTATAACCCGCTTAAGTGAACATTTCTCAATGAACCAAAAGAAATTTAAAATACTAACTGCGAGGAACTTAAGCCCGTAAAACATTGACGTTTATTATCGGATTCCATAAATCAAAACATTTTAATAAGTGGGATATTTATCTGGTAAAATTTGAAGAAGTTGGACGGTTTTTTTAGGTATTTTTAAAACAATATCTTATGGTGTGATATAATATAATGTATGCATATTGGAATTTCTCTTTATACTGGAAATTATATTAAATGTGTTATAGATATTTAATCTATATTATAAATTTAATTTTTTTTAAAAAACAGTGTGCTCAATATTTGGTTGTTACACCAGGAAAGGTAATTTAAATGTGTTTACATATTTCAGCCTGTTTTTTTGTTGATCCTAAATGTCGCTTTATGTTGTTTGCGAATGTTGTGATATTTAAATTTAAAAAAATGTTTTTGTTTTGTTAGTTTATAAATTAATTAAACTAACCGATAAACGTGATAAAACCCTGAAAAATAGAACCAAAACCCAAAGTCACTTTTTAAAGAGTAAAATCAAAATGGGAAATTTTTTGTTTACAGTGCACTATTCATAATAGCAGAAATCCATCGATATTTGATATCGGGTTAATCTGGCGATTTTGAGATGCCTACTTTTATTACCAATACTTATACAATTCATTTACTATAATATAATATATATTTTTTGAATAAAAACTGTCAAATAAAGAAAAGTTAAAACTAAAATATGATACTAAATCTTTATTATACTTAAATATAAAGTGAAAACATAATCAAAATAAAATTAATATAATTTAAAATTAAAAATTAAGTTCGCAAAATAATAATTATAATCATCTTACAAGTAAAATATTCCCGATTATATATACTTTTCTATACTTTTCTATACTTGAACTTTATTTAATCTGAATAATAAATCTTTTTTATTCATTTTTCTTATTTGAATATTACAACAAAAACAATCCCAAAATCAATTAAATTAATTTTTCATGCTATTTAATCATTTATTCATTTACTTTCTCCAATCATTTAACCATTAATATAAATCAGCGTTATTAGCAGGACGTTACCAATAAACTTCCGCTACAAAACGCACTTTTTGAAGTTAAACAATAATGTAATAACTAACATAATATTTTGAAGCATTCTGGATTTAAACCTATCGCTTAGAAGACATATGAAGCAAACAACTGTACAACTTAAATATCGGCTCAAAATGTAAGTTATATAAGAACGTAACTGTTGATGACCTGATGGAGAAATTCCACGGACTGAGATTAGCCTCCCAATTCCTTACTCCTCACATAATATCCTAAGCTTTCAGACTACCAAACAATCCTTTCTCATCTCATCTTAATCATCTATTTATTAACTAATATAATTGAAATTATATCATCTTTTACACACATGAAATTATTGTTTTCGCGATTTTTATTATCGGTTATTTATTATTTCTTATCTGTGCATAAAAATAATTAAGCAGCATATAACGTAATTATAATCAAGTTAGACCTTTGTGTAACTACCCTTATTATAATATTTTTTTGGCAAAGGCCTTAATAAAGCGTATCAGATGTTTGGGGTTTTAGAATCCATCGCATGTCAAATCTCTATCGACATAACATGACTCTACCCCGCTATAAAATTTAGACATTTATCAAACTTTAAAACTATCTGACAACTTATATTTTCTGGCCGCTTTTTATGTGCCCTTTAACCATCTTTATATGTTATATACATATTGTTTACCATTTCTAATAAAAGTATTATATTTTATTTTTTGGCTAAATGGCAGAAGTAGTTACTAATACTTTAACTTTAAAAGGATCTACATGGTTTGAGTGACTAGTAAGATGATCATTTTTGAAGATTTATATTATTGTATAATATAATTTCTCAGGCCCAGCTTCTCATTGTCTGAGCCGAAACATTCCATCTGTGATAGATTCTCCTGGCGTGGGTTCAAATCTAATGGACCATTTAGAAGTTTATGTTCAAGCCCGATGTAAACAACCCATAACCCTTTATAATGCCACCTGGAATTTTCCTCTTAATACTATACGAATAGGACTCAATTGGTTCCTCAATCAAAAGGTGTGTTTTGTTAATTTTCTTTACTGTCCTAAGGAAAAAATAACAGTAAGCTTTTATTAATTGTTAATATTAAAACTCCTTATCGAGTTTTTTAGTTTAATTTAGCGTCGTAAAGCAACATAAGAGAAAATCGCAATTAGTAATGGAATTACTTTTAAGATAACATTTACAACACTAACTAATTCCTGAATTAATTCATTTCATCTAGGCTTAATATTTCTGAATATTTGGTTGTGTTGGCATATTTTGTTTTTATAATTTTCTAAATTTTACCATTAAGGGTTTAGCATCTACTTCCCACTTAGAAACAGGGGGCTTCATTAGGAGTTGTATAGACGATGGTTTTCGTGATGCTAACTCGGGCGGAAGCGCCAATTTTACAAAAAATGAAGGAATAAACAATTTATTCGATAAAGTACAACCCGATATACAATTTCATTTTTTGGCCGGACTCGTCGAGGATCACGGGCGAAAAGAAGCCACCTTCCACGCATATCAAGTAAATATATAAGTTTCCTTTAAGGGATCCTTTAATGTTGTTTTATTTTCTGATCATATATAAAAAAAAGTATCATTGTATTGGCTGAACATTCTTTAAAACTAATTTAGATGGTTTAGGGGTATCAGACAAAAAAAAAGTCATCTTTTATGGAAATAATCACTAATTTATATTTGGTCAGTTATCTTTTCTGATTTTATTGATGGCTATGAATTTTAATTATTTAACAAAGTTCGCAATATATAAAGATTTTGTATTATTATAATTTATTTACCAATGAACAGATGGTCCGGTAGAGGGGAAAAAAATTCCCGAAAAAATAAGGAATTCCGCGAGGCCCCATCTTTTTAAAATATTTTTGGTTAAAGTTATTAATACATGCAATCACTGAAATTGGAAATCTTATTATAAAAAAACGGACGATATTAAAATGAATTAATGTTGATTGTTGAAACATGCTGTTAAGAGATGCATATTTATAGAAAAAAAATGTTGAGAAATATAGAATATTAGACGAGATATCTATTAAAAAATGTTGATAAGTAGTAGAACTTCCACAGAATTTTCACCGATCCAAATGAGAATATTAACTGGATCCGAATTTTTTCATTGATGGTAAATATTAGCTTTGAATCTATATTTGATATTGGCATCACCATAGTGAAAAATGGGTGGAAGATATTTTAGGAAAAAGAAGGATGAAGGGTGAGGGGATAAATTGGAAGCAGACAAAGATTTTTAATATTGGGAAAAATCTATAAATGCTCATTTGAAGATTTTTTGAATACAGCTATGTCCCTAAATTTTTCTCCATTTAAACTTCAACATTTAAGGTTAGCCTTTCATATCCTTAGTTGATTAATAGTTAGTTAACGTGTAGTGAAAATAAAAATGCAACTCCCAATATGTGAACTTAATCCCAGGGAAACCCTTCAACAAAAAAAGGATTCAGGTTCGGGTTCAAGGAATAAAATTTAAAAAGGGTCCGGGTTCAGGGGACATAAAAAAATGACTCAAAATAAGACTTTTTTTTCATTCATTTATTATTGTACTTCAATATAAAATAATTTACAAATAAAAAATTTTAAAATGAAATAATTTATATTTTAAATGCTTTATTTAATCGCACAATCATAATATCTTCTAAAATATCATCCTTGAGATTTCCACGTAAATTAGACAATGTATATTTCAAAAATGAAACATTATACACTGACCTAAAATAGATAGTTTTATAATACATAAATTATTGTACTTGTGTCGCCGGTACAGCCATGACGATTCTAGACAAGACATATAATTGAAGAATTTTCTTCCCAGAAGTTTAAAATATATATATCCTTATTTATTCTCTTACTGAGAACTTTTCTATTAAAGATATAATTAGCATTTTTTGATCCTCTTTTCTATCTGATGATAATTTCATTTTTTTTCACTATCTAAAAGTAAAATTTCAAGATCATCAATGTTGCTATCATTATCATTATTATCATACAATCAATAGGTATTGTCGTAGCCCCAATATGTTGTAATGGAGTTTTGCATATGCCATAAATCCCATGATCTTTAGTCATCTGTTTCTCAATAAAACTTGTTACCGAGAGTCATAATATATAGAAGCATATACAACACTATTTTGCAAATATTGTTGCTCTCGAATTTTCATGTTTTGTAATTTCATATGGAAAAGGACTAGTAAATTTATCTAAATCTAATCCATATGCCATAAAAATTAGATAAACATAATTTTCTGATTGTAATCTTAATGTTGTTATTTTTAAAGGAATTAATACGTTAGTAAGGTCCTTTATTTGGCACCAATTATCTTAAATTAAAATATTATTCTTGTACTACAAAATAATTTTCATAATAATCAACGTATTTCTATAACATAGCATATTAATAAATTTACATAATAAAATATTATTGTCTACACTAGAAAATAATTTATGATATCAATTTCTAAATAAAAGGAAGTCCAGTAAGAAAATTGATAGAAAAACGCGAAGATAAAAAAATGATTCCACGAAAAAAAGTTAAAAATATAAAAAAAATTTATATTATTTTTTTTTAAAAATATTTTAATTTTTAAAAAAGTTTTCCTCCACTTTTAAAAAGGGTCCGGGTGCAGCCAAATTACGAGGGTTCCGGGTCCAGGTTCACATTCCTGCTTGATCCTATGTGGTGTAATACTTAGTATATCCTTGGAAGAATAAAAAAAATTGATTATCTAATTTTGAAGGTAAAGGAACTTTGTTAATAAGTGGTATAGGAGCCAATGAATAAGGTGAGTATATATATATTATATGAGTTTTGGTCTAGAATTGTACAATCCATTGTGTTTATATGTGAACAAAATTGATAAAGAGAGAGGGATTTGGAATATTTATATTCATAGGTGTAGCCTAAATAAGGTTAAATTTGCGGTATTGTTAAGAAATTAAATAGCCGGAAAAGGATGAAATATTCAATATTATAAAAGGAAACAAATATATAGCATAATCAAACGGCGTCCTCCTATGAAACAAAAATCCACCCCAGGTCCTTAAATCAGATTGTTGAGTTAATGAATTACGACGAATCTACCAGCCTGCTCTTATGGACAGAAAGTCATAATAACTCTAAACGATATCGCGAAGATAATGTATTTCTGCCAAAATGTGATATCATAATGAACAAGGTCGGTTAACGAGGCAAATAAATATAAAGTCTAAAATTCCCTGTTAGGAAGATATCAAATAAAGAAAGACAAGACAAAAGAGTTAGTAAAAAAATTAGAACATGGGAGTCGTTCATGTATATATATTCAAATGGCACTTTATATGAGAAAAACAAATAAAGTGCATCTATAGGAGAAATAAAGAATTACTATTTTTATGCAGATTTTATGTCTTATGTTTTACTTAAATTTAACTTAGTGTTAATTACGATTTATAATTATTTTTGAGAAATATATTTTTTAACCATGCTAGGAATTAGTGATCTGCAAATTTTTTTAAAAATATTTTTAAAATAGGGGCGAACTAATATTTTTTAAGAAAAATCAATCCAAGTTGGGCTTAAATTTTTAATATAATATCATTTAATTTTATGTAAATTAATATATTTAAATAAATTTGGGTCCAGCCGAGCAGACAAATAATTTTTATTTTAATTTCAGGCCTGGCCTTTCGGGATAAAGTAGTAAAAAGGTCGGACAAATTTTTAAAAAAAAATTTGGTCCGGTTGGGACTTAAAAAAAGTAGGTCTGGTGCAGATCACTAATAGTATATTAATTCTTAAAATTAAGATGTCTTCAGTCGGGATTTTTTGTGGCCGAAATTTTGTTAAAATGTAATATGACCGACCGATTTTTCGAAATGGTTCCAAACCCACTCCGGTCTCAAAATACCCACGGGAGTGTTTGTCTAAATATTAATTCATGGTTGCAAAAGGGCCATCAACGTATTTCAAATTTAAAACCCTAATTTTTTTATTTTTTTCAAGTTATATGGAGTAGTGGACTCCTTAGGATTTTTATGGAAAGAAAGATTATTTCTATTTCTTAATTACCATCTGCTAACAAATCTTTTTCCAAAACACATTTATTCTCTAATCACCTTAAAAACTGAAATTACATGATACATAAATCAATCAAAAAAATAAAAGGTTCACGTAGGATCTATGCGTCCATCTTCGCGGGGTTTTATTAGACTCGTTGATTCCAATCCTTTTAGTCATCCGGCCATAGATCCTAATTACTTATCTACTGCAAAGGATATAGCCGAAGCTAAAGCCTGTATTCAAGTAGCTAGAGATATCTTTTCTCAGTCAGCTTTCGAGCCCTTTAGAGATGCCGAAATCAGTCCAGGACCTAATAATGATGTCGAAGAGTTTTTTAAGAAAAAATGCGATAGTGCTTATCATCCATCGGGCACTTGCAGAATGGGAATAGATCATGAGAAAAAGGGAAATGAAAGTTTATAAGTCAAATTTTTGTAATAAACAATGGTAAGAGAAGGTAAAGGTTTTATTTGAATTTGTATAAAAACTTTTTAAGTCTTGAGTAAAATATTCTGTTACCAATATTGTTTAAGTTAGATGTAAAAGACATTTAATGACTCTTTCTTATTTAAAATTAATATTATAATTTACAATTTACTTCTAAAAAATATCATATACATAGATTGGAATCTTTGAGAACCGGACCAGAACCTTAAAAAATGTTTTGCTCACTTATAACTATATTCCTTTGTATATAAGCCATACATGCATTTTTTAGGCTTAAAGAATTTAATTTATTGTTTAAAGAAGTATAATATCTCATTTTTTAAAATCTCATCTATATTTCATCCTTTTAAAATTTTTATACAACTAAGTCAAATTAATCAGATATGGTTATACAAGCAAATATGTTGCCTAAGTATGACAAGTATATAATCATGGGTAGTATATCAAATATAAAGAGATATTTTGTTTATTTTTAACATAAATCAGATGTAAAACTTATAAAAAAAAAAATTTTTTTAATAAAAAATTTGATAAATTGCAAACCTGTAATAGCGGTCTATGTAATATTGAACTACGAGAAAATGTTCTAAATGTAAGAAACCTATATGCAGAAAATGCAAAATAAAGACTTATATTATATGTGCAAAATTAAACCTAATAGTAATTTCATTTTTTGAATTATATTGAATCAATTTAAAATTTGCAAATTAGGTTTGAAAATTTTTTAAAATTGTATAATAATATAAAACGTTAATTGATGGCTTTAGATGGGGCAAAATCTTGATACTAATAGCTTTAAATAATGTCTATTATAACGATAAGATAAGATCATATTTTTAAAAAAAATCTTGATTGATTTTATCTTCTTCTCCGTTTAATGGCGATTTCCAGGTTTACCCAAGTTGGCCAGTTTTCCCTCTGATTTTTCTTTTCCATTTTTGACTGTCCTGAGCATCAATATTTGTAAAATATATTTTTCTCATATCAACCGCTAACACATTTAACGTCATCTTGGGCCTTCCTCTAAGTCTTGATCCTCCTACTTCCATCAAGGTGCATCTCTTTACCCAGTCATCTTTTGTCTTACATTCCACATGCCCAAACCATCTTAGTCTATTCCTTCGCATTACCACTCCAATCTTGCTCGCAATTCCTTGCTAGTTTCTCTCTCTCTCAGAGATACCCCACACATCCATCTAACCATTCTCATCTCTGTTCTTTCTAATTTGGCTTCGTGGATCGCTTTCGTTGCCCATGTTCGCCGCCACAAACTAAACAACTCCTCAGCTTACGTAAACTTTTCTCTTTAACTTCAGAGAGACATTTTTATTTGTTAGAATAAACGACATCTCTCGAAACTTCTTCCATGCCTGACCCTTGCAACAACAGCGGAATCTACATCACCATCTGCTTTTAGCATATCACCCAAATAACAAAACTTGTCCACCTTTCCCAGGGTTAACACATTGCCAATATCCAAACCACCATTTTCTACGTTATCAGTATTATGTATCCCTTTTATGCACGGTCTACAAATAAAGGTCATCCTTGCTAACATCAAACTTTCTTTTTTCTTACTACATCTATTATGCAGCCATTTCTGGCATCTGTTGCATTGGATTGAATTTCTAGCAACTCCTTTCTCACATGCACCACAAGGCCAGTTGCCGAATTCCTCCATCAACCCACCAATCATCAACTTTGTCTTTGCTGCATTCATTTTCAAGCCCTTTGCTTCCATAGCCATCTTCCATCTACTAATTTTATTCCCAAGTTCTTCCTCACTGTTTGCCATTAATACAAGGTCATCTGTATATAATAGCTCCCAGGACGCATTTCTCTAGCCACCACATCCATTACTAAGATAAATAATAATGGATTCAACACGGATCCTTGTGAAGTCCTACATTCACTTCAAAGCTATCACTATCCTCATCCGTCCGTACCACAGTTTGTGCTCCCACATACATTACTTCCATAACCAGCCATTCTTCCACACCTGATTTTCTCAAGACCCATCTTCAAAACGCAAATAAAAAACGTAAACGCAGCTATGTTTAAATTGTACCGTTAATTATTATTTTTTTTAATATGAAACGTCTAAATTTAAAACAAAAAAAAATGCTGTCCAATTTAAACGAATGCATTTAAAATTTATTATTTGCGTTTTGAAACGCTAAACTTGTGCGCACTATAATACAGTTTCTTTTCTTTCGCAAGATACTTCTCTTGTATTTGTCTCACCACAAAAATTGCTCTCATCGATGTAAAAATTGCATTTTATCAATTTTAGCTTGTTCCCTACCCGCTTCTCTATCACCTTCTCAAATATTTTCATTGCATGTTCCAAAAGTTTAATAGCTCTGTAAGACCCCCAATCTAAAGTATCACCTTTCCCCTTGTATACTGGAATAATTATACTTGTTCGCCAATCCTCGAGAATAATCCTTCTGTGACAATTTGATTTGCTAAATTCATTAACCATTCAATCCCTAAGTCATCAGTACCTTTAAACATCTCTGGTACCACCCTCGTTATCGTTAAACCCGCTGCCTTCCCTTTTTTCATCTTTTTGACTGCTCTTTTTATTTCGTCCTTGCCAAATTTACAGCCTGGACCTTCTACACTTGCACAACTAACATCATTAAAGATTTTATATTATATTATAATTTATTTTATTTTTTTATAGTATACGTTTATTATTCAATTGAATTAAGTTAACCATTTTTATTTTTAATAAATAAAAAAACATTAGAAATGTTTATAGAACCGAAACTTTACCAGTTGATTTGTGGATCAACACAGCCCTGGAATTAGATAATTGCAAAATCATAAAATAATCAGAGGTTCCTTCCATACTATTATTATATGGGAAAAAAACTATTATATTATAAATTTATTTTTTAAGCCTCGCCTGTAGTCGATTCGCAATTAAGAGTTTATGGGACGAGCGGTAATCTCAGAGTGGTCGATGCTTCTATCATGCCATCTATACCTTCTGGCAACCTTAACGCGCCTGTTATTATGATTGCAGAAAAAGCAGCGGACATAATCAAAGGTGAGATTTTTTTAAACTCTAAGACAAATATTACTTTTGGAAAAGGCATTAGAACAGTAAGAGAACATTAGGGGACTAATAATTATACCGGCGGTTCCGTTTAGAAGTCTGTAATGGGAGGATTGTATGACTTTTATAATAAAACTTAAATACCGAACTTTGTAGCCTATATTAGACATGTCTTATGGAGTCCTTAGCCAATCAGTCCCTCCTTAGATGTCTTATTTATAACTTTTTATGCAACGTCCTCGTGAATAGCTTGAGTTGTCCCAAAAATGCGAACGATCATTTAAAAAACATTTTATAATGGATAAAAGGTTTTTATAACCCTTGTGGGGCATCGCTGCACCCCATGAATTATTATAAAACACTTTTTAGATTAGGGTTTTTTCGATAATCGAAAAGTAATTTATTAAGGAAACTTATCTTTTTATAGTAGACACTTTTTAAAAAAAAATTTTTGGTTTTTTGGAATAATTAACCATAACGCTATGATATATTTAATACGTATTTTGCATTATTACAACAAAAGGCAAACCTCCTTTAAAACTTGATATATCATCTAATCACAATCATCACACCGGTCGCTTATTTTATGTGGCTCCCGAATTTGAGGCTTACTTAAAAGATTATGAAATGAATCCGTCGAAAACCTGGAAAAAGTTTAGTGATTGTGGGAATACAATGTCAGATGTTGTAATGCAGGAATCAGCAATTTAAAGATGCATGGGCAATGATGAAATTTAAAGATATTTAATTTTTTTAAACACTATTTATTCGTTATAGGATAAATTAAATATTCCTTATTTTTATAATGAAATATATTATAAAATATCTGGATTTTTTTATAAATTGCGCTCTATATTGTCTTTTTAAGAATAGCAATAACATCCTTATATTATAAAACAATTTATTTATTTTTTGGATTATTAAGACCCTGTGAAATTTTTTAATCAATAGCGGAAAAAAATGCATAAATAAATTATAGCAATTAAATTTATATTATATTTTTATATATTAAAAAAATAAACTATTATATATTCTGGGTATTTAAATATGTAAAACGATTATAGGCAGTGACCTTGAATATTATTACTTGGGCTAGATGGAAGTTTTTATGCTAAATTGGGCTGTGGGAATTTTTGAAAAGGTTTTTTGGACTGACCCGTTAATTTTTTTTCCGCCCATAAAATACTTTTATACTTGTAATAATTTAATATATAAATTTATCTAATTTTACGCTTTAAAAAAATTAGTGAAATTCCAGCCTAGCTCATAAAAATATTTTGCACCCACGTTGAGCATTTTTAAAAATTGGGATTGGATTAAAGGAATCACATTCTAATTTTTACTTTATTTGTATTTTAAAATTGGGCGTGAGTAGATCTGTGCATTCACTTTATGCTCCATGCCTTTACTAAAAAGGTAAGTTGTTGCCAGGCGAAGCATTTTTCTTAGAATTATTAATATATAATATTATAATAAGATTTATTCTTTATAAATATATAGAATAATTTATCTTGATCCTGCTTGTGGATCTGCTGAATTTGGCATATCATTTCATAGTAATTATTTCTATGTCTATTGATAATAAAGCATGCCCCAGCTTCTTTATCTTCTCTGACCCATGAATAAGTGGAATTCCAGTTATTTTGGTATTACGATTTAAGAATTTTTTTGGATGTTAAACTGACCTTTTAAATATATGATTGAATTTAAATGATGGCATAAGTTCTGGTTAAGTTATTTTTATTATAAAAAAAATGGGAGAGCATAAATCAATAGACAGCGTGTTTTGGTGCAAACTAAAGTAAAAAATCGATAAATTTCGCCAAAAGCAGGAGATCTAGCAACCCTGACTTTCATCAGGGCACATCTGTTTACTCAATCGCCTTTCATTCTACATGTCTAAACTACTTCAATCTATTTTTTCTCGTCACCACTTCAATCGCTTCTATTCCAATCCTTTCTAGCTATTCCTTGCTTGTTTTTCTCTCTCAAGATATCTCACATAAATTTTTCAATTAAAATAGGACGGGCAAAAAATTTAATGAGCTGGGCAAATGATATATAAAAAATATACGGGCCTGACAATTTATACATAAATAAAAGGCAGGGCCTCGTAAGTCTCTAAACTTTATTTAAACTATAATAGGCTAAACCCGAGCATTAAAATTTATATTTTTTTAAATTTTAGGCTAATATTTCGATCAATACTATTTTGAAGATAAATTACAATAAGCTTATTTCTTTGTATATTTTAAAGCTAACCAAATTACTAAATCTATAAATGATCTCAAACACATTTAATTTATAAAACGATTGTTGTAGATGGCAATAGAGAAGAGATATAAGAGCTGCAATCGACATTAGGAAAAAATTAGATTTGGATATGAAAAATAGGATAGCCGAAAAATTTACAAAAAAATTTGACAGGCCGGGCATTTTTTAAAAATCATAACAGGCTAAGCAATTTTTTAAAAACGGGCCTGGCCAAAAAATTAAGGTCAGGGTAACTCGTGCAAAAATTTATAATGGGCTGGGCTTTGCAGATCTAAATCCCATACATTCATTTAACCATTCTCATCTCCGTTCTTTACAATTTATCTTTATATGCCACTATAATTGCTCATATTTCACAACCATAGACTTTATAACTTCTCATTCTGCTTGGTAAGTAAATTTACTTTTCAATTTCAGAGGTAATTATTTATTAATATATACGAGATCGAACTTCTTCTTCTTTTATATACATATCACCCTTGCAACCAGGCGTGTACGCAGCGGGGGAATGGAAGACAAACCCCCCCCCCTCCCCCCAGCCAAAAAAATGCAGATGCCGGATTATATTTTTCAAAAATATTATTATTAATATTAATTTATATTTTATAATATTTATTCCTATCTCATATATATATTTAATTACATTTATTATCACATTCATCTACTAAGTTATTTTATCAATTAATTTCGATCTCAAGTTTTCCTTGGCGTAATTTACCTATTATTTTCAAATTTTAGTGGCGTATTATTTATCTAAATTTCTAGTCAAATAATAATTATCTCTGAAACTCCTTGTCCAACAGGGAGAAAGAAATTGCAAGCTTGTTCAACGAGATCGAGTCTCCGCCATCAAGAAGTAACAGCTTTTATGGAGTTAGAAGAGTCTATTATTAATGCTATTACTAAAATATCACAATGGCTTGAAAGAAATATTTACTCAGAAGCAAGAAAATTATTGGATTCAATACTTATTCCAAATTTATTTTCTCATTAAAATGTATTATTTAATTATACAACTATTTTATGTAATACTTTTCAAAAACATGGCATTGACTTGATTAAGAAGATGGGAATAGCGGAGAGCATTTTATTAGACAAGATAATTAGAGCTAATGTTGATGAAGAATTTCAATTTTATATATTATTATGAGTTAAAAGGAAAGTTATACGTGCTTAATATTTGTCTCCCTCGACTTACTTGCAGCAAGGCAAGCTCATTGTCAAAATATTAGTATAAGATCAGTAGAAAAGTATTATAAAACTATACTCCAAATAAATGAATGGTTTTTAATTCATCATGCAGCACTTACCAATCAGCAGATATTACTTCCACAAAAGCCTTCCCAATCTTTTTTAGATGGTGATATATAAATATAATATTTGTTTGATGCATTAGCTGAATAACTATGTTTAAAAGATTAACTAAGATATAGTCCCAAAAATGCTATGGATGCTTTGTATAATTTTAAACACATTTTAGATTATATTCTCAATGTATTAAAATGATTATATATATATATATTAGCAACTCTTCCCATTAGTAAACTAATGAGAGAACATTCTCTTGTTAAGAAGAATAACAGAGCCCTGCAGTGGTACCATTTGCAGGGCACGGCAGGATTTTTTAAAATTTTTTTCAGCCCGGGCTAGGTTTTTTTAAAAGAAATTTTCAGGCTTGGCTCGGCTTTATTTATAATAAAATTTTCAGGCGGCCCGGATATTTTTAAATAAATTATATTTATTTTTGATTTTTACAGCTAATTTCAAATATTTGGTTTTAAAATATACAGCCTGGCCTGGATAATTTTTTTAGAAAAATTCAGGCCCGGCCCAGGTATATTTAAAAATATAAAAATACGGCCCGGCCATGGAACCGGGCCTGCAGTTATCTGAAAAACATACCTCAAAAGTACAACTTCTGAAAGTGGATTGAATGGTTTGGTTCTTTTAAATATTTATAGGCATTTGACGCCAAGCAAGGATGAGTAATTGAAAAATTAGCTCAATCCCAACGAAGATTAGATTTTACATAGTAAATATAATATAAAATACAATTATTCCTAAGAAACCTTTTGTGTATTAATATTTATATTTCCAACATTTAAATTTTTTATACTTTACATATAAATTTTAAAGGCTCAAAAAATTCAAATTTCTATTTTGGGTCATTTAAGTGATTCATATGGTGGTTATATTCACTTTATATTTTTTAATTCACATTTATTTTATAGTTTTTTATGTGCCAGTTTATATATATAATTTTTTTATATTTCATATAATTTAAAATTGTGTATTAGAAATATTTATTACTCCTAATAAATTTGTACTTGATATTTTTAATTAACAATAATATTTCTTAAAAAAATTTATCCCCCCCCCTCCCCCACCAGGCCAAATTCCTGCGTATGCGCCTGACTTAAAGCTGATTTTATTATTTCTTTCACTTTATATAATATTAATTTAATAGTTCCTTTGATTGTTATTACTAAATTGAATTTTATAAAGTATATATAGATATAAAATTTATTAGATTTAGTTATATTTTTAAATTAATAAAATCAAAATAAATTTCGTCTTGTTTTTTTTTTATTTTATTTTACTCTCTAACAATAATTAATATTTTTATATTGTAAATAAAAATTCTAGGTATAGTAGATTCAAAGATATCACTTTTATATATCATAATATATAAATTTATACTTCAAATTGTGTTCAGCAATTAAAATATAAAATCCTTGATTAAAATAATAGCTTTTACTTTAAATTATAATTTAAAAAATTGACATAAAAAAAAATTCTAAATGATATCCTTTTCTATCTATGTATATAATATATAAAATTTAATGATTTTTACTTAGAACAAACTAAAATAAATTATTAATAGCTACTTAGTTATATTATATATAATTAATAAAATAATTAATACTACAATCAAATGTAGTTTTAAATTGGAACTTGAAGATTTTGAAACTAATATAATACTTTTTGGGCACATTTTACATTTGGTAAGTATGAATTAGTTCCTTCAATATAAGATGTTACTGTAAAATATTTATCTAATTCATCTGATTTTGAATTTTCAGAACCAGATGATGAAATAATATCCATGCTTATGCAAATCTATTAAATTAAAATATAAACGATATTCAAATTAATAAACTATAATAATAGCTTGTTAAAAAATTCAAATGTGAAAAAGGAATCAGCTGATTAAAAAATATTCTTAAGATAAAATTACAACGCTATCTAATATTTTAATAAAACACATGAAAAAATCAATAACGCTCAAAGCTATACATCATTACCCTCAGCTTATGGTGAAAATCGGTAGTCACTGTCAGCCGATGGTTAAGAAAAGAACGTCTCAGCCGATGTGAAACGGCGATACATAGGTCTAGGCGTAAGTTAACGTTTCAAAAATAATTTTCGGCGAAAAAATGATGCGTCACCGCCAGTCGATAGTTTGATATAAATACAACATATTCGCAGATTAATATTGTCATATCACAGGTATAGTTTTAAAAAGAAATTTTCGATTTCCATATAAGAACCAATAAATTATTCGCAAAAAGTTTTATTAAATACTTATTTAAAATAACGATTCTGGTTTGATTTCAAATGAAAATGTATATAGTGCGTTGTCAAATAACATTTTTCCACGCTTCCGAATATTGCATAAAAAAATACCATTTTTTTTGTATTTATAGACAAATAAAAAGTATAGACAAAATAATATAGCGTGAATGTTTTTTATAAGTATACTTTAAAAATATTGACAAAATAATATTTAAAAGTACCGATGATTAGAATGTTTTTTTTTTATAATTTTATCGCAAAAAATTTATTGAACTAAGAAAATAAATTCATAAAATAGTGTTTTTTTTGAGCAGATAGGCCGGTATAAAACATTTTTTTGTAAACAATAAATATTTGGATGATTAAAAACCTAATACATAATTAATAATATAATTAAATACAACATTGTAATTTACATATTTGGATGGATGATACTAAAAACTAACTTTATATAAATTACGACATATTTACATTTTGAACAGATAAATTAATTTAAAAATATAATGGAACTGTCGAAAATCAAATCAAGCTGGACTAATAATAAAATTGAATTAATATATTTTGCATTTCAAATTCAAATTAAAATCCTTAATAATCAAACTTCTGTGTCAAATAAACTTTTCCTAAAAAAGGATATTTTATTAATTATTATATAGGTCGTAAAAAAATTTATGTACATAGCAAATTATTTGTTTCCTATCAATTAAAATTATTCGAATATAATTGTTTGATAAAAAGTTTTCGCAGCCCTCTATTCTTGTTTTTGGCAATACAATTCCTTGAGCGATTTCAGCTCATCGATAAGAGCCTTGTTTTGGTTTTCCAAGACCACAACCCTGTTTTCTAAGCATTTTACGTATTCTTTCTTTTTGCGTCTACATTCTTTTGCTGCCTCTCTACAATTTTTGACATTCAAAATTAAAAGGTTTAAAAATAAAGTTTATTAAAGACAAATTCAAATTTTTTAAAACTCGGGCCGAGAAATATAAATCCAGACCAGATTGTAATGAGACCAAATTTTTTATAAACAAAATACTGGCCAACCCAAAAAATAAAACTATGAACGTATAAATTTTTTTAAAAATAAATTCAACCCTATCTTTAAAGTAAACCTATTTTTGAGTAGTCGAACTTCTCTCTTTCGTGCAGCCTCTTCTATGACTGGATGTTGCGGATGTACATGAATGTTGGTAGAATTTACTAGATTGTTATTTATATTGGTCGGGTTCATGTTAGGAAGATTCTGTGATTGAATATTGCTGGTATTCATTTGCTGGTAATAAGCTTCGTTGACTTGATTAGAAAATATAATTGTATTTTTTTTTAAATAAATTTTTTTCATTTTTTTATAATTATTACGCGGAATCCTGATAAATGAAGGTGGCTGATTGGGCCCACAGGCTAATCCTAATGCTGTCGTATTGGTAATATTGCTATTGTTACCATGAGTCTCAGATGATAACTGCAAGGGAGCGGACCTTAATAGTTGAGAGGAAGTAAGTGTTTGATGGTAATCGTTAAAAAAACTTTCAGATTTTGGGATAGTCATACAATTTACGGCGACGGTCGAAGATAGGGGGAGAGAACTAGTGGGTGGGTAAAGATTGTTATTGCCATGATCAGTAGGACTTGGGATGTTGTGCCGTCTAAACATAGCGTTATCAGCATCGAGACCTATCCTAGGAAGACGATCTGATTCGCTTTGATCTTTAAATTATTTAAGGTTTTACGATAATTACAAGATCAACCTTTAAAATAAAATAGAAATTACAACTTATTTTAAATAAAGAAATTTACTATCAAAATATCCATCATAATCATTTAAAAGATTTTGATTGTTAAATTCGTAAGGAGTTTCCCAGAAAGGTTGATCATTTGGATACAAATAAGAATTATAAGATGGGGTTTCCATAGTTTTTTTTATAAGGAATTTACAACATAAATGTTATGAGGACTTTTAAACTATACGGTTTATATTTTTGGGGACAATTAACTTCTTTAATTGATTATCGTAAAAAAAATTTTATATAAACTTTAGAAAAACAATATTTTAACACGAATAAGTTTAAGTTTTTACAAAATAAGCTTAAATTATATATATGATTTGCTTTGTTGAAACAAGTTTGAAAGGTTTAATTGTTGGCATTCGATAAAAAAAAAGATTTTAAACTCAACAATGCTATAGAGTTGAATGACAAATTGCACTTTCTAAAAATCTTTAAAGAATCCTATTAATAAAATAAACTCAAATGATTTATATATTAGATATTAGTATTTTAATGTAATTATAGATATTAACATTCGTATATGATTACTTGAGGATTTGGAACTAAATGTAGCGTTTGGAGACAGGGATGAAAGAGAATGAGGGGAATTGACAGATGAATCATTTCTATCTGAACCGTTATCGTTATGGCTCGGGGGAGAAAGCAATGATGTTGCATGCTCTTTCTTGATAATATCGCCTTTTTCCGAATTCGTATCGAAAAGGGTATTGCTAATAGTAGTAAGGATATTTGAGGAGAGACTCGATTTAATAACTTTTATCTCCCCCGATGTTGACTTATGAGGCTCGTTGTTATCAGCATTTTTAGAATTAAATAGTGTGATATTATCGCCAAGTTTTGTATTAGCAACGCTCTGCTTTCCTTTAATCTTATCATTTTTAAGTAAATTGGGTTCTTGGTGAGTGGAAAATATCATCGTTTGGCTTAGGGTAGAGTCCATATTTTGTAGGTTCGGCGAACTAATATTCTGCTTGTCTAGTAAATACTGAATGTCGCGAGGCGAATTTTGAACTATGGGTACGTTCTGCATGTTTTGTTGTAAACTGTTATTTTGAAAGGAACCTAAAGCAAGGAGAGACGATATAGGTAGGACGATAGCGGAAGCCTGTTGGTTAGGTAAATTTGATAGTGTTGACAAATAAGGGAGGTTGGAAAGGTTGGTCAGATCTGCGGCGAAGGATAAAGGCTGATGATCCGAAGCGCCTCCTAGCATTTTCTGGTAAGCTGCTCTAAACAGCTGTTGCTGTTGTTGGTGGTGCTGAAGCTGCATTTGTTGTTGATGTTGCTGAAGAAGGGTTTGTATGGAGGGGTGATAATCTCCCCCCAAAATCAAAGAAGAGTTTTGGGGGGCTTCAACGATGGAAAAATTGGGGGCTAAAGCGAATTTCAAGGGTATGAGCGAGCTTTGGTTTTGAGATAAGGGAAAAGAGGAAATATGAGAATGAGAGGAAGGAGGATCCATAGGTTTCAAAAATGTTTCGGAGGATTGTGATTTTGGAAAGGTCAAAGGTAATTCAGTCGTTGCCGATGATAAATCGTTCAAAATTTTTCTAAGGATTTGTGAGATAAAAAAGTGATTAATGTTTTCGTATAAACGTGGTAGAAGTTTATAAGCGATTTAATTCTAACTTTCTTTTTTTTAAATTAATAAAAAAAACTATTTTGATTTAGCTTGAATAGAGGTGGCACACTGTGAATTTTATTTTATTTAGTTCAAGTGATATATTTATGTAGTTTTAATTTCCCCCAGGGAAAATTAGAAATTATATTAAACATACCATGATGGACCAGAATTTTAAACCTAGAGTAGTTTCTATATAGTCCAATCGCTTAAATATTGATGCATCTACGATTGAGGATTTTTATAAAATAAATATTTTTACTCCCTTTATTGATACATTTTTATTTCAACTAAAGGAAAGATTTATTAGTCACAATTTTATTTTAAACAGCTTTTATTTTCTTTTGCCGGTTGAGTCTAAATACATTTGAAACGCGAGAGGATATTAAGAAAATCTCAGAGTTTTATTCTGATGAATTTTCAGGATCGTATGATAAATTACTTTGTGATGTCGAATTTTGGTATAAAAATTTTGACAGAATAGAGTACTCTTTGAGCCAAAATATGCTTTGCAGGCCCTTTCCATGTATAATTGCAATTTAGATTCCCTGCCTAATATCAAAACATTGCTTTTTATCTTAGCTACCTTACCGATTAGCATCTGTACTAATGGGTCTTTTTCAACTTGAAAAGGTTAAAAACCTATTTAAGAAATACGGTGAAAGCCGTAATATTAAATATTTATAAGGAGATTATTCTAGATAAAAATTTGATTCTAGATGAATTAGTCAAATCTCAGAGAAAAGTAGACCTCTCTTTATAAATTCAAATTATAAAATTGCTATATTATTATATTATGATCTTAGTCATAAAATTTTTATAATCAAAACGTAATTATAATGAATTCTTAGTCATAATATTTATATATTATACTATTTTTAATAAATATATTGCATTTGCACTAAGAATATATGATCTGCATCGGGCCTAATTTTTCAAGCCCGGCCCTGCCCAAAATTATTTTAAAGTTTTGATAGCCAGAACCTGATTTTTTTTTAAAAAAGTTTTGTCGGCCTGGCCCAAATTTATTTAAATATAGAAATTCATTTATATAATTACTCAAAATAAAAGATATATGTTATATGGCGTCTAGTTTTTATAAATAAAATATTTTTATTTTATATAAAAAATTTAACATAAAATTGATATATTTTAAAAAATTTCCAAGGTCCGACCCAACCCGGCCCGAATTTTTTTTAAAAATATTAGGCCCGACCCAGCCCGATTTTCCTACTTTTGCGGATCTCTAATAAGAATTATTTATGTTTTATTAATATACTCATTTATATTAATTATATTATAATTGTTAAATTAGATTTTTTTAAATACCGCACAAGAATTACTCATATTTTATTGTAATTCCATTTTTTTTAAATATAGTTATTTAGAACAAATTTTTAATATAATCTGTATAAAATTTATACATTTTGAAAATTTATTTTATTGTATAAATAATAAATAAAATCTATAATGAAATTCTCTGCAAAATTTTGTTATATGAAAAAATTTATTTAAAATAATTATTTTTAACATAGAATAAGATATATTGAGTTATCCTAAAAAATGAAAAGTTGGTTGGGGGGGGGGGCGATTTTATTCTTCTTTCTATACCGAATGGATTGAATTAATTACAATTGACTAAACATTGATAAAATTTTCAGAATAATGCTTTCAGCCGCGTATTAATCATAAATTTAGCCAAAACTTTGTTACTAATATTTTTTTCATTTATGCTGGCTACTATAGTGGTTAGACACCAATAAAGCACAAAATTGGCAAATTTTTAAAATGCAGTTTGGGGGCGAAGCCCTCAAAAATAATTTAAACCCCCCCCCCCATGAATCAATCCTGGCTACGCCACTGTGAAAGTTCCATGCATAACATGGAATAGCTCATACAGCATGACTTCATTGCTCAAGAACTTAGGTAAACTTGAAAATTCAAGTTTGTAATATTGAGTTTTTCCCTATGATGATGAATATAGGCATTTTTTGGCATCATTATTATGTCCATACTTTAGGAACTTATGGATTGAGTCAGATGTTTAAAAAACCTTCAAACTATATTATTAAAATAAACCCTAGATGTAGTAGTACATAATCAAACTACAACGCCATTCGATTTACCATCTAATAACCAGGAAAATAAAATTTTTCTTTTAGTAAAACAAATATTTCTGAGTTTAATAATAAAAGCAACATTGAGCTGGAGGTTTTGAATTATCCCAAAAATAGTAAAATATTAGAAACACTTAATTATTATTTTTTAAGTATAATACTGCAATAACTTCATCAGCTCTGAAAGGTGTTTAGTTTTATTTTAACACAATGTTAAATAATCTGAAACGGAGGCTTAATGAGAAATTATTTGAAAAATTGATTTAATATAAATAGTACGAAATAACTATTTAAGTTTTTTCGGATCTAAATGGCAGTCTTCTTTTTATTAATTCCATTATATTTTCTATATAGTTTTTATATATGTTATGTTTTAAATAGTTCACATTTTTACAGATTAAAAAACACGAATAATAAATTTAATATTTTAAAATGCTCTTTATTGTAAATTTATATTTCAAATCCATAAAAATATTAGTCTATGAAAGGGCTACTAAATTAGTACTAAAATGCTTGATTAAATAATCTACCTCATCATTAAACATGATAATTTGAAATATTTTATCAATTATTGTAAATATTCATTCTTATTACAAAATAAGCTTTAATAATATTTATTATTAATTAATATCTTTTCTCTAATTATAGTATATACTTATATGTTCTTTACAAATAAATTATATAAAATGATATTTTATAATTAAATTCTAATTTGATATGTAATTATTTTATAAAAAGTATCTTGTAAAGATACTCTCGTTTAGCAAAAGATACAAATATCTTATTTTGATATTTTTTATAAGATAATAGTATCTGTATCCAAGATCTCTTTTCTTAAAACGAATATATCTGTATCTGAATTCTTTTTTTGAGGATCTGCCCAACTCTGTATATATGTTATAACATTTTTGTAAAATGTTAAAAAAAAAATCCTTTTACAAAAGTGGAGACAAAACCTAGTAATCAATTTTACATCACTAAGAATAAGATAGTAAAAAAAATATTATCAAATCTTCTATTTCAAAATTTCAACAAAAGTTGATTGTAGATGGTTGTTGTAGCACTATATAAAATATAAAACCCTGAAGAATATATCACTTTGCTAAAATATTTGCTATTTATATTTCTATTGGTGCATTCAGGATCAAATTTTCTCCTATAACTATATTATAATGAATAGGGCATGGCCGATATTAGATATCAAATCTGTTCTAAGAGCGTTTTTTAAAAATATCAGAATTTTTTATTTTATATATAATTTAATTTCATAATAATATATTAATAAAAGGACCAAAATTCAATTTATTTGTAATGTTTAAAAAAAATCAAATTATTTTAAAAGCAAATGTAGCTAAAAATTTGATTATATTTTGTTATATTAACAGCAACAAGAAAAGGGTTTAAACATATCTAAGGAGTCACATTCAACTAGCATTGTTAAACGATTCGATTTAGCCGATTTTTGAAAACGGCTAAGATTTTAGCCAAAATAAAATTACTAAGGTTTAGAGATTTTTCTCACAGGTGACATAATTGAATATCTATTGGCAAAATTTTGAAGCTTATTATTTTGACTATTAATTTAGCCGTTTTTAAAAAGGCTAAATCGAGCAATTTAGCAATATAAACATTGCCCATATTTTATATGAGATGATTAACGTTTAGAGAATAAAATACGCTTCATGAAAATTAGTTAGTTTGGTTCAAAGATAGATGGTAAATAATAATCAATATAAATATCGGATCGTAACAGTTATATAGTAATATAACGAAATATCGGATTGGATTGAATAGGTGAATGTGGATTGGCAGGAATTAGTTTTAATATTTAGGGGATACATTTGTGACAAAATTGTAGCATTGAGGGGTAAACTGAGGAGCGAATTTAGTCAAAATTTTAATATTCAAGTGGGTGATGACAGGTAGAATGAAAGGGGTAGTTACCTGCATTATTGATGCTTGGGGAAGAGGGGGGGAGTGGTTTCTTTCTCATTCACTTAGTGGGTTTAGAGGGCCCTGCATGTGACTTAAAGCTTTATAATTAAATAAATTTTCCATAAATTTGGAATTAGAAAAACAATGTTATTCTACCAAGAGTGAGAGTTAACAAAGTAAAAAAATATAGATTATCTAAAAAATATTTTTTTCAAATATAAAGGGGAAATACTTATTATTAATATTTCAGTTTCTTATTTTAATTTAGGTTTAGACTGGTTTACAATCTTAATATTTTTTGTTGAAAATGAAATTTTTTAAAAAATAAGATTAATATTTACTGTATATAATAAAATAATTGAAAATTTAAAAATTTTGTAATTTTTTTTAAAATTTCATCATGCCAACTAAAAAATGAATAAATAACTCTTAATATTTAAAATACATTATATCAGAATCAGTAAAAATTTAAAATGAAAATTAATATATAAAAATTAATTAATATTAAATAATTAAGGATTATATAAAAAAAAAATTTTTTAATTTACAATTATATATTAAGTTATACAAAAATATATAACAATATGTATATATAGTTTTATTTGCCTGTAGGAGGGTCTACGTGCCAAAGCTTCTCTTCTTCTAATGCCCTCTTCATCATGCATTTTTAAAATTTGATCATTTTCCCTTCTTATTTCTGGATTATCAAGTTTTTTATTTATATTTAAAAGAGATTTAGGATCTTCAGATGCCATTTAAAGTTTTATAATCACTGTTTTACATATATCAATGACTAGATAATATATTGTGATAATTAATTTCAGGTTTTCTGATATTATGATGATTTGAAGATTACATGCCTAAAGCATAAATTTTAAATCAAATTATAAATTATTTTTATTCTTTACCTAATATTAAATTATATACATGATATTATTTCTTAAATTATGTTTGAGTATTTTCCGTGTGTATAGATCTTGATTCATTCCTATATAAAAAACACCTTTATAAACATTAATATTCATTTTTTAGTTTTGTTAAAATATAAAACATATGATCACAAATATGACGTGAGATTTATAATGCTTACATAGTAGGACGTAAATATCGTCATAATTAGTTTGTCGTCATAGTTTATTTATTTGATAATCTAAAGAAAAAAATTGTATAAACTTAAATGAACATCAATTTATTAGGTCTTACCTTGATATATTATAAGGCCAGAGAGAAATCATTATGTCAACGTTATTTATGAGGATATAAGACGTCACTGTGACTCAAAATTATATTTTTACGAAATCAATAAAATATTTATTTTCCTAGATGTATTTAAAGTTTATTTAAATAGCTGATCAAGGAGCTTTAATATCATTACCTCATTAATTCAACACATAATAAAATTAAAACTTTTAGTTATTTTTACAATATTTTAATCACTTGTTGTTAAATTCAATTTTCTTATAATTTTAATAAATATTCTTTTATTATGTTTTATAAAATTTTTACATAAAGTTAATTTATTATTTACAATAAAATAATTTTACAAAATTTATGGTTTATATGGTCATACTTTCTATTTTAATTTTAATTTTTGTTTATAATTTTATATTATCAGCGTTAAATGTAAAAATTTATATAAATTTATTCATCCTGTTGAATAATTAAACCAGTGGCGTCGCTAGGAGGGGGCGTGCAGGGGCTCGAGCCCCCTAAAAAATTTGAATAGCCAGCCCACTGATAAACAAAATTTTTTTTAAAAATTGCTCCTTAATATCCCCTTAAACTAAAAATAATTTTTTTTAAGCCCCCTGAACGATTTCTTTTATAATTCTATTGAGTAATATATAGATTTAATTTTATTATTTAAAAATTAATAAAACTATCTAATTTTTTATTAAATGAATACCATTTTAATTATTAGATTAGATTATATGTTCACTCTGTCAGCATGAAATCAAATTCTGTGTTAAAAATATATCAATATCACTCACTAAATATTAATTTAGCATTAACAGTTGAAGATTAATTGACTTTTATTATTTAAATTATTATATAACCTTAATTAAATAAATATAATCATTTATTAATTGAAAATTAACAAATTTAATATTGTAATTAGCCGAGTTTAAAATCACTAATCAACTACAATTTGATTTTTAAATTTAATTATCATGTCTCTTCCTAAAATTATTTTCAAGGTCCAAATCCAAATGAGTATAAGCTATTTATTTATAAAAAGTAAGTAGATAAATAGTTTATATACCTTTATAATATATAATTATTTATAAAATATTAGGTAAAATGCCACTTTTACAGACAAAATAATAAAAATTAAATTAAAGGAATTGATAAGGTTTGGTTTGGCAGTCATCAGGAAAAATTTTTTGGGAGACTTATCAAGCCTATTATGATATTCTAAAAGTTAAAAAATAATATGTCTACCAGTAACTCTATAACGGGTAAGACGTTTGTTTAATCGTCATTATTTTCTTTGCTTATCTTTAATAATAGATTCATCATGTTTTGTAGCAATGTGAGTGATTAGGGGTAGCCTAGACAAATATAGAAATCAGGCAAAAATATAAATAAACTATTGTTGAAATTAAACAAACATTAAAATGTAAAACCGGTAGATGGGTCAATATTAGATGCATATTTCTAGTAATTGGAGGGCTATCATCAAAAAAAATTTTTATCAAGCCTTTTATATTCTAAAAGTTAAAAAATAACATGATGAATGTAATGTTATTAAGATTAAGGTTAATTAATTGTAAGGTAATTAAAAAATAAGATCAAAAAAGGGGGGAAAAAGAAGGTATAAAATATTATATTATAAAAATTAAATTAAAGGAATTGATAAGGTTTGGCTATCATCAGGAAAAAATTTTTGTGGGACTTATCAAGCCTATTATGATATTCTAAAAGTTAAAAAATAATATGATGAATGTAATGTTATTAAGTATAAATAGGTTAGGATAAGAATATTTAAATATTTGAATATACTTGGTTATCTTCTTAATTATTGGAAAGAAAAATATGAGTATAAAAAGTTTTCATTAATGTGTAATTGATAATATGAGATGAAAATTGATAAGGTAATCTAAAAAATAAAGAAAATATTAAGTGAAATAAAAATTTCATTCATATTTACAAATTTGAGGGAATAATGTTTTTCATCCATATTAGGTATGTGTACATCATCAATTCTAATCATCTGTTGAATAAAATAAATAAATAAAAAAAAATACGTACCGATGACATGACGTAGCGATGACATGACGTCACGATGACGTAGTGAGGACATCTGAAAATTATAATATTTATAAAATATTAAGTAAAATGCCACTTTTACAGACATATTTGACAGTTATATAATATATTACAGTTAATAATTTTAAAATTTTATAAATGCTTTTGATAATAAATATAACAATAAGCATTCAAATATTTAACGCCATCTATTTATTAAATATATTATTAAAATTAAACCTCCTATTATTCATCCCACAATGGATGTAAAAAATTAGATATCTTTTCTTCTCTTTTTTTACGTGTTTTTAGGAAAGCTATTTTTTTCTTCATTGAAAAACAGTTTTGAGTTAAATTTTTAATACGAATATATTTTGATATTATTACAAACTATTAATATTTTAAGATATAATATATCAACTAGAGGTGGTGCGACAATAATATATAAAATCTTAATTACTTTCATCATATCACTCTGGTTCTTATTTTATAGTTACAAAATTTTCTAATATGGCATCCTTGCCGTGTAAATAACTCAAAACTTCAATATATTCGCATAATTTCTTCTAAAGATTTTTATTGTTTTTGTTTTATCAATTTATCCAACATAATAAATTCTGATATGGGTTACCATCGGGAGTGTCATGGCTATGACTGCATAACCAGCATCTATTATTTGTTGACTATGTAATTTAAGATTATATAAGCAATAACGGTCAACTGTGTAGTCGTTTATATTATCATTAAAAATGGAAGATAATCTTTTAGAAATTTATTATCTCACAAAAAATTTCTCGATTACTTATCTAGCTTCCATCATGTCATCTAAGAGGAAGCTCTAGCCACCATATAGTTTTATGATTTGGATTGGTCCTTTATATTTTCTTCTTCAAGAATTGTTGATTTGGTTAGGTCTATAAATTTTTATACATTAGTTCATCCTATAAAACATTGTCTAAAATGGTAACAGAGAGTTATATTAGTTTCATGACCTTTTGTCAATGTAACTTGCTAGAATTATATATATGTGATTTTAAAAAACCATTATCAATTGTGGCATATGTATGAATTAATTAACCTTTTTTATCACTTATAATTTTTTACGCAAAATATTTTTATATCAGCAATCGAAAATATTTTATACTGTAATAAATAGATTTTGTATTAAAAAATATTATTTTTAGAAATGTCTTGTATTGTTTTAATTATTTATATGCTAGTTTATTTTGTATGCAAAATATTATAAATAACTAAATATGAAATTCAGAATAATTGTCTAGAGTTAGCATATTTTAAAAATGTAAAATATATTAATATAAAACCCGGGCGAAGGCCGGGCAAAAGCGGGCCAAAGGACCGCAAATTGGGGGGGGGGGGGGTATGGGGGCGAAGCTCCTCATAAAATTTTTTTAAGCTGAGCCCCCTGAGATTGTAAAGGCTAGCGACGCCCCTGAATTAAACATAACATACTATATAAAGGATATTATTTTACAACATTACAGAGATAATTTTTAATTTCAAAATTATATTATTGGAATGGTTGTTTGATTTAATAAATTTACTCTGATATTCCTAATTCTGAGCTAATCAAAATTTTTATATATAAAGTTCTATAGTAATGCTATATAACAATTAAATTTCTTCGGGGATAGCTTAGTCGTAGCGTGAAAACAGAATATGGATTCCATATTAACTAAGAATTCTATTTTAATGATACCTATTAAAACGCATCACCTTATGATCGTTTTTCTGGATATTAAGTAAATGGCGATTAGATTGAGGAGACCATATATTAAATTTTTGTGGCTGTGTGCACAACAAACCGAAGAATATCATTAAAAGGACTATAGGCTGAGGGACATAGAAAAAGCTTATGCCAGTATTACACATATATTAAATAATTTTAAGGACAGGGGAAGGACTGATTTTATTTTCAACTGTCTATAAATAATTAGATTATAGATTCTGTTCATGTTAGTAGTATAAATAAATTTATTGTTATGTTGACGGTATCCAAAATAGATATCTGCATTGGGCGGGTTTTTAGCCCATCCGCCCACGCTAGCCCATATAAGTCGGTCGGCGGGCGAGCGGATTAAAAATTTTTAAAGAAAAATATTTAAGCTATAGGTGTGAGGGTGGGCGGGTGGGCGGGTTAAAAAAATTTACAACTGTTAATTGTTATTTAAAACCATAGTAAACATTTAAAAAATATATGCTCCCAACATTTCTTACTCAAAAATACCGATAACTGAGTTGACGGAAAAAATTAATTAGGTAAAATATATAGAAAACATGGTGGATTTGATATACATGGAAGAATATAACATCAATGTGGATAAAACTGATTCCCAAAAGTAAAGAGAATTCAATTAAAGATTTATAAATTATAAATGCAATGTTTGAAATAGATAGCATTCACATTAAGATTAAACAACAACAGATGGGAAGATGTGACTGTTACAGAGGAGTGCAGGCATAACAAAATTTTTAAATCTTAAAATAACGAGTTTTTGTATAATTTAGCAAGATGTTAGGCTACTTAGTTTAGTTTAAGTTTATAATTTATAAACAATTCATTTAAATTACTTTTTTAGATTTATTATTAATGGTTTCACTTTTTATTTTAATATCTAATTTGAGTAGAGGATATTTTTCGAAAGGATATCCTACTTTGATGGAAATGACAAGAAAAAGATTTATCTCTAGATTAGCTAGATAAATATTGGTAATTCCATCAACCAGTGCTCCTTCTGAACGAGGAATCAGCATTGCTGGAATGTTTTTAGAAGGAATAAATATTAATTATTACATAAATATTTTATTAGATCAAATAAACTCTTTATTTGTAATTTAAATTGAATATACTTAATATAGCAATTTTCTATATTATAAAACTTT